TCTACAAGAAATTCTTTGAAAAATTTTCTACCACTGAAGTCATGTTAGCATCCTTAGCTTCAGTCCCACTGAGTCCTTTTGGGAAAGAAAATCTTCAGTAGTAAGCTTATAAGTAGAGAGAGAGAGGAAAGTAGATGGGAGAGGTGATGGAAGCAATGAGGGAATAATAAATCTGATTCTGAAAATAGCTCTCAATTTAAAATCCAACTAGAAATAAGACCTGTAATCAAATTCAGAAAAAAATGGTATGAACTGTATGTAGCTCACTGGTAGAACAGGTAGAACATCATGAAATGCAGTCTTGGTTCCTTCCCAGCAGAAGAAAGAAAGAAAAAGAGAGAGAGAGAAATTAAGAGATGAGAGGGGCTGGGGCGATGGCGCAGTTGGTAAAGGGCTTGCTGTGCAAACAGGAGAACCGGAGATCAGGCCCTCAGTGCTCATGTACGAGATAAGTATGATGATGCATGTCTCAGCAATGGTATAGGGGAGTCGAGAGACAGGTAAACTCCCAGCACCCATTGGCCAGCCAGCTTAGCTGAATGGATGAGGACTAGGTTCTTTACTCTCAAAGAGCCTGTTTCAAAAAATTTAAAAAGAAGTATTTTCCAAAGTTTTTTTTCATATTTAATTATCACAGTTTGGTGTGCATCGAGAAAGGTAAGGAAAGTAACTTTGACTTCATGGTTTGGTTAATAGTTGATTCTGGTGGTGCCCAGGAGTGAGATTTCTTACAGAAGGTAGGTACTGCCTCCTTCAGTTGACTCTTTCCTGCAGCAGATCGCTGGCTGGGTTGCTTCAATTTCTTCTTTGAAACTTCAGATGAAACAACACCATCTCCAGCTGCTGGGTGCTCTTCATACCCCTGTGAATGGCTATTTGAGAGCCATAAAGACCAAAGAGCCAAAATGCTTTGTTCTGCCACATCCTACTAAGCAGACTTTCATCCAAATGGCATACAACTGACCCCAGACTTGCCTCTGCCTAGAGTCGGGCAGCCATAAACACATTGAGCCAACTCATCTGCCTGCTGTTGACTATCACTTTCACTTATCAAGTCAGGTTGCTGTTTGAATAGAAAATTGGAAAGTTGTTAAATCTTTGAAGAAAAAAATTGAAGAGGACACCAGAAATTGGAAAGATCTCCCAGGCTCTTGGGTAGGTAAAATTAACATAGTTAAAAACGGCAGTCTTCTCAAAAGCAATCTACAGATCAATGCAATGCCCATCAAAATCCCAACAAAATTCTTCACAGACCTAGAAAGAATGGTACTCAACTTCATGTGGAGAAACAAAAAGCCCAGGATAGCCAAAACAATCCAGTACAGTAAAGGAATTTCTGGAGGCATCATAATCTCTGACTTCAAACTCCACTACAGATCTACAGTACTGAAAATAGCCCGGTATTGGCATGAAAACAGGCAGGAGGACCATTGGAACTGAATTGAAGACCCAAATATCAATCCACACTCCTATGAACGCCTGATTTTTGATAAAGAAGCAAAAAAATATAAAGTGGGAAAAAAAGAAAGCATCTTCAACAAATAATGCTGGCATGACTGGATATCAACATCTAGAAGAATGAAAATAGACCAATATCTATCACCATGCACAATATTTAAATCCAAATGGATCAAAGACCTTAACATAAAGCCAACCACACTGAACGTCATAGAAGAGAAAGTGGGAAGTACACTTGAACTCATTGGCACAGGAGACCACTTTTCCTAAATATAACCCCAGCAGCACAGACACTGAGCAAAACAATTAATAAATGAAACCTCTTGAAACTGAGAAGGTTCTGTAAAGCAAGACATGGTCAACAAGACAAAATGGCAGCCAACTAAATGAGAAAAGATCTTCACCAACCCAACATCAGAGGGCTGATCTCCAAAATATATAAAGAACTAAAGAAATTGGTCATGAAAATAACAAATAATCCAGTAAAGAAAATGGGATACAAACCTAAACAGAGAACTCTCAACAGAGGAATCGGAAATGACTGAAAGACACTTAAGGAAATGTCCAAAATCCTTAGTCATCAGAGAAATGCAAATCAAAACAACTCTGAGATTCCATCTTACATCTGTAAGAATGGCCAAGATCAAAAACACTGATGACAACTTATGCTGGAGACGTTGTGGGGAAAAGGGAACATTTCTGCATTGCTGGTGGGAATGCAAACTGGTACAGCACCTTTGGATATCAATATGGCGATTTTTCAGAAAATTAGGAAACAATCTTTCTCAAGACCCAGCAATACCACTTTTGGATATATACCCAAAAGATGCTCAATCATACCACAAGGACATGTGCTCAACTATGTTCATAGAAGCATTGTTTGTCATTATAGAACCTGAAAACAACCTAAATGTCCCTCGACTAAAGAATGAATTAGGAAAATGTGGTACATTTACACAATGGAGTACTACACAGCAGAAAAAATAATGATATATTAAGATTTGCAGGCAAATGGATGGAACTAGAAAACATCATACTGAGTAAGGTAACTCAGACCCAGAAAGACAAATATCATATGTACTCACTCATAAATGGCTTTTAGACATAAAACAAAGAAAACTAGCCTACAATTCACAATCCCAGGGAACCTAGACAATAATGAAGACCCTAAGAAAGATATAAATGGATCTAATCTACATGGGAAGTAAAAAAAGGCAAGATCTCCCGAGTAAATTGGGAGCATGGGGACCATGGGGGGAAGGTAGAAGGGGAAGGGATAGGAAGGGAGGGGAGCAGAGAAAAATAAAAAATAAATTTAAAAAATTGGAAAATTGGGAAAACACCAGGAATACTGAAAATTTTGCTACATGGGTTATTTTTTAAACTTTGTGTTATTTATTTGAAGATGTTTACCTAAATACTACTTACATATGCATGTTTTTGTGCCTATCTACCTGGATATATATATCCAAATGTATAAATTATATATATATATATATACACACATATATATATGTATATATATATTAACTCTTTCTAGGAATGGAGTCAATAAGCAAAGCCACCCCAATAAAATTAATGTATACAACTTTGTAATTTTGGTATCTAATAATATTTCCACAAGATGAGCTAAAGGCATTTTATTAGATTGCAAAGCAAGGATGTGCTCAAAAAGAAAAACTACGGAGGTCTGTCAGTTGAAAGGGCATCTGTGGATCAAATATGGGACAATTTGAACATCAACATAAGGAAGCAGAATAATAAATAATATACTACTGGGTACACATAAGAATTCATGACTTCATACTGATCATATTGATATATGACAGATAGGCAGACATGATTAATTGAAGCAGAGGGGAAAGCTTCTACTTATAAGTGAGTATCAAGAACTTCTACAGAAGACACTTCTCTTTCCACCTCCTTTAGTCAGTGTTATGTTTGAGAACTACCCCTTTTGCTCTTCATAGTTAAAATAATCCTCACTGCTACATAGTGGTATAAATATTATAGGATTGATTTATTCATTTTCCTGTGGATGAATATTTGGATAATTTCCAGCTTGGTGCTGTTATGAGTAATGTTACCATAAACCTTCAAGTTCACATTTTTTTTCATCAACATGTGTATCCACTCTTGGTGGGTAGTTGCCCAGGAATTACTAGGTCACCAATAGACATGTTCAACTTTACTAGATATTGCCTAATATTATTGACTGTACTAATTCACATTCTTATCAACAATAATGAGAGTGTTGATAGTTGCACATTATCTCCTAAATCTCACCTGAACAGGTACTCTCTCTACTTAGGGATGTGTTATATTCTATGGCTGAAAGTATAGATTCTGGAACTGAAGATGGATGCTAAAAAGAAATTCCACACGCTCAAAATTGAGTATAATAAAGGGTTATTTATTTAGGGGTAGGCTCATAGATCACAGTCCTCTGCACAAGCAGGGAACAGGAACCGAATCCAGCAGCTGGAAAAGAGCACACTTGCAAGCTTTATGGTTGCATTTATAGTAAAGGAGACCATGCCCAAGTGGGCTGGTATCTTAAAGGCTATTGGCTGAAGGAGTTCTCACAGCATGGAACTAACCTACCTGGGCTCATTTCCAACTTTACTGTGTAACAGTCATTTAACCTTGTGCATATCACTTAAATGCTCTGTGCATTAGGGCTCTTTTGAAACTGTAAGTGAGAAACCAATCATTGACTTAAGAATTAAATGAAATGATGCCTTGAGAATGGTGTTAGGCACATAGAAAGCATTTTGTAAATGTTAGATGTTATTTTTACTCAGTTGTCTTCAGATTGTTTCCTATCAATATTGTTGATTAAGTGGGAATGAAGCACAATGCCATGAAAGAAATCGAGCTTCCCACACCACCCAAGGAGACAATCAGGTAGCTGCCACAAGGCTCTCTATCTGGGACAAATTCCACTGCCAGATGTCTAGTTATGTAAATCAAAGCTAATTATTACAAATTTGAATGTGTGAATTAAACCAGAATGCCAGTACTCCAAAATACTTGGAGGTAAGGATTATGTATAAAAGCACAGTTTAATTTTTAATTATTGTTTTTCTTAGTGAAGCGAGTGGTTCTTTTATATGCTAATTTAAGAGGTACCTTATAAACGACTTGGGCAAACATTCTGTGAGGAACTGACATAAATTTGGATTTCATAACGTAAATGTAAATTCAGCAAAGAAGCCAATGGAAGAAAGGGATTTGGCAAAGAAGGAATGATGATAGCAGAGTCACCATACAAGAAGTTCACAGTGCAAGAAGACACAAAGAGGAAGCATGCTCCATTGCTAAGATGTGGATTGTTGAGTGCCCTGAGTAAATGGCACTAGAAATACAACAGTAGGGAAGATGTAGATCATTGCTAAGAAACCCTAGAAGTTTGTGGCCTTGCCTATGGATGCTCCACCAGATAGCTTTTGAGTCTTTGTGCATCCACGCTGGTTCATTCTTACATCCAGTATGTTTTCTGAAGGCTTGTGGCTAAAGGCTGGCAGGTGAGAAGTGGGTGGTTATGATTCTCCACCAGTGAATCTTGAGGACTCCTCACTCACTCCTCTCATCAGGTGTCCTGTGCTTCTCGAGTCTTCGTGGGCCCCAGAGATCACAGGATCACCATGAGGGCTGTCTCTCTGAGACCCACCATCACAGATGTCTCTCTGAGCTGTCTGGGTTTGCTGAGCTTTTTTCAGTTCCCTTTCTAGTATTGGACTTCTCCAAGTTCAGTTGCTTCCGGAGTTCATCTGTCTTTTCCGGGAAGGGGTGGAGAATTTGACTTCTGGCCAGAGCTGCTGCGGAAGGTCTCTGCTCTGGATCAGGGTGGATCATGTTCTTGAGTAGACCATAAGAAGTCATCTGAGAGCTCCTGGACAACGTCTGGAAAGTTCCCCTTGCGGATATGATGCCACACATCACCGTTACTGGGTAGTGACTCTGCTCCTGCAGCCATTGCAATTGTTAACCCCAGGGCAAATACGTCTCCTTGGGGAAGGTGTTGATAATTCTCTTGCAAGATCTCCTTAGCAAGGAAGCGAATATCTCCTTCTTCCACTTTCGGTTTGCTGATTGATGTCACGTGGACCAGGTCACCAATTTTATATATCACACTGGCAGAGAGAAACCAGTCAGCCTCACTTTCAGCCTCTTCTGGACCTACGGGAGAGTCACTCTGCATCTTATTACAAATAAAGATGTTACTGGGTTTGATGTCCAGGTGCACCATGCCAAAACTGTGGACGTACTTAAGTCCCAAGGAAACTTGTAAAAGGAGGTCTTTGAGTTTGGCCTCGTGGAAGTGGCTACCAGATTTGGCGTTTTCGGTTATCACAGCTTGCAAGCTCCCACCATTACAGTATTCATTCTGAATGACCAAGTGACCGTCTTCTGTCCATGAAGAATAGTAGCGTACCACATGGGGGTGATGGCCAAGCACTGCAAGAGCATAAACTTCCTGCAAATCCAAACCATTTGATAATCCTGAGAATGGTTTTGAAGAACGCTTTATTGCATAAAGACATCCATCCAGCCTCTTAACGCACTTGTAGACTGTACCAAATTCCCCAACCCCAATTTTTTCTACCTCCAAAAATTCCTTTTCATAGCGGGAAGCCATATTAGTTTCTCGGAGAATACTTCTCTTAGTAGGCAGCCCCTGTTCTGATTTGTTTTCCCCTTCTCCAGTTTCTTCATGGTAGCCTCTGGCTTTCCTCTTGTCATTTGATTGAAGGGCCAATTTTCTATAGGACTCTGGAGTGAATGGGTTGATATTAACCAGAGACAAAGAGGCCTTCTCATCCATGAAGGGAGAAGGTGTGAGTCTCAGACGTTTAGAGCTTTGGGCAGAGAGTTTTTCTTTTGAAATCATCTCAGGCAGATTCAGTGAAGTTTTGGGTGGGGAGAGGTTGTCAGCGACTGGCAGCTTGCTCTTCCTGGATGGTCTTGGCGTCTCTGGACATATGGGATGGTGGGAAGGGCTGAAACTGGAATCCAAAGGATGGGACCTGGACTTTCTTTTTTTAAAAAATTTATTTATTTATTTATTTATTAATTAAAGATTTCTGTCTCTTCCCCACCGCCGCCTCCCCTTTCCCTCCCTCTCCCCC